GCCGCCTGCCCTCCCCTCAGCCCGCGGCGCTGAGCGGCGACCACCACACATCCCTCACCTCCGCCGCCCGCCTCCTCCCGTGCGCTCGCTCCTCCCTCCCTTCCGGCCTACGCTGCCCGTGGTGCCCCGCGGCGCGGCGGCTGCGCGGCCGCCCGGGGGCGGGGGCGGAAGCGCTGCCGGGCCCCGCCCGCCGCGGCCGGGCCGGGCCGAGGCGCCGCCGCCATGCCCCGGGACAACATGGCCTCCCTGATCCAGCGGGTGGCGCGGCAAGCGCGCCTCACCTTCCGCAGCCCGGCGGGCCCGGCCTTCGGCGAGAACCTGCACCGCCTGCAGCAGCTGCTGGACGAGGTGCGCGCCGAGGACTTGCACCTGGCGCCGCGGGGCCCGTCGGCCGCGGCGGCGGCGGGCGGGGGTCCGCCGTGGGCCGGCGTGGTGCCGCCCGTCAGCTACATGCACATCTGCGAGACGGAGAGCTTCAGCATGGGCGTGTTCCTGCTGCGGAGCGGCGCCTGCATCCCGCTGCACGACCACCCGGGCATGAACGGCATGCTGAAGGTGCTGTACGGCACGCTGCGCATCGCCTGCATGGACACGCTGCCCGCCGGCGCCGCCGCCGCCCCGCCGCCCCCCGCCGGCTCCGGCTCCGGCTCCGGGCCCTGCCTGCGCGCCCTGTTCCGCTCCCGCCAGCACTACACGCCCGCCTCACCGCCCTGCCTGCTCTCGCCGCACACCGACAACCTCCACCAGATCGACGCCGTGGACGGGCCCGCCGCCTTCCTCGACATCCTGGCGCCGCCCTACGACCCCCAGCACGGCCGGGACTGCCACTACTACCGGCTGCTGGAGGGGCCGCCGGCGGGCGCCGAGCCGCCCGCGCTGCCGCGGGAGGTGTGGCTGGTGGAGACCCCGCAGGCCGCCGACTTCTGGTGCGGGGGCGAGCCCTACCCCGGGCCCCGCGTCTGCCTCTGAGCCGCCGCCAGCGCGGCCCGGGCCGGGCGGCGGCCGCTGGGACGATGCTCTCGCCCCGCCGGGAAGGGAGGGGAGCGGAGCCCGCCCGGCCGCCCCCGCCGCGCCCCGGGCCCCGCACAGCGGCACCGCGGGCACACGGAGCTCCGCGCCGGCCGGAGCTGCGCGGGTCTCACCTTCCGCTGACCGCGGGCTGCATGAGTCGGGGGAAATAAAGCACCAGAATGTGCTTATGTCCTTTGGGCCGATGTGGGGGAGCAGCGCGGTTAAACTTCTGCTCAGCTGAAGGGTCGGGGGAATAATCCGACATCTTGAGTAAATAGCTAGGGCCTCACGTCGGGGAGGGAATTAAGGCTCTGAAGGGAGAGTCAACACAATAAGAATTGTCGGCTTCCCCTGAGGGGCTCCTGCTGCCAAAGCCAGCTGGCACTGGTGCGCCAGGGGACTGTGCCCACCCAGCTTGGGCAAGGGGCTGGTCCGGCTGCAGCCTTTGGGGACTCGGTCTTCAGAGTGATTCTCAACAAGAGCTGTACCCTGCTAGCAAAAAACCAACCCAGAACAGCTCCTGAGCCAGGACACGCTCCTCCAGTAAACACCAGTGATCCCCAGGGCTGGAGTTGAGGGAATTCCTGCTCTGAAGGGATGCTATCAAATTCAGAGTTACTTTTCAACAGTTATTTAAAGTGTTGTGTACAAAACCTCACTATTGCAACGGAGAATTACTGAGTCCATCTATGCATATGTCCTTCAGCAAGGAGAAGGAGACAGCTGCTAATTAACCTCGCTTGGAACCTCTCACGCAGCGGAAGGTCGCAGAAACTGGGGGCATCATAAGAGAAGAAACAACTCTCCACTGTTGTGGAAGCCACTCTAAAACCACAGTGTATTTGCAAACCCTACACATACAGCAGCGCATACCCTAGGTACTGATAATGTTGGACCTGCTGTCTTCTCTTTAAAGCGTGGTCTTTGTTTTTATATGGCCAAGAGAACACTTTGGGCTTTTGAAGCCTTGCAATTTCCGTCTTTATACTATTTATAAAGACTACTTTTTCATAAAGCTTTTAAATAAACGTAGAGTAGAAGAAACACCAGGAATTTCACCTTGCTGTGATGGAAGCGGTCTGGAGATGCAGTTTGTCCGTGGCAGGGAATGCAGTCTTTCTAACATGGGAGGAACTTTTTCTACAAGTGAAGTACTTCGTCTGTACTGCAGGGACTGGTCTCGTGCCTGTTCATTAAACGCACACTTGGTACCACAAACCCAGGCCAGGGCAGCCTTGGCCATCTTACTCATGATGTGGCAATTTGAATAAGAAAACACGATTACCGACCTCCTAAGTGACGTACCAACCTGCTCCAGAAATCATTCCACAACTGGTTTTAATTTTTCTGTGTATTTATAAAAGCAGACTTGTTTTTCCTGTACAGTGGCTTATATGTGAATTTTTAAATGATTCTGATACGGCATTGCTGCCTTTTGTTGTTGTTTTTGGATTTTTTTTGGCCTGCAAAAGAATGACTGTGAAATACAGTCAGCATTATGCATGCATGGAATAATTCTTTTGCAAGGAGAAATTGATAGAGATTATTTCAGGTGATTTCCATTTATTCTTGGGGCACTTTTAAGTGTCTGATATTTCTGCAACTGGCTTACCTGTTTTTCTTGGAATTCCCCTGCAGCTTAGCATTAGTTAATGTTTAACAATTCTCAATCGAATGTAGTCATTAAGGCAATGCCTCCTTGTGTTACAGCCTGTTTCTACCTCTCTCCAATGCTAATAAAGACCATCATCCTTTTTCAGAAGTCCGCAAAGAAGATAGCGGGGTGCGGGCCAACAGCTGTACTGGAAAAACAAACTGCGACAGAGAGCATTTTTTATCTCATCTGCCCTATCCCCCTCTTAGGTCTTTCTGCTTGGTTTTTAATTTTTTTCCCTCCATGTGTAAAACCTAGTCAAGATGTTTAATGGGACAGGACTTCAATGCATCTTTCCAAAGAGGACAGCATGGTCCCTCACGCTGTGGAGTGCTGTTAACAACCCTGACAAAACCATTTCTTTTTGTTTTTTCTATTAAGGTGTTAGCATCAAAGTATTAAAAGCTGGGGAAAATAGCAAAGAAAACCTCAAATGCATTAAAAAAAAGGCACCTCTGTGTAACTTCTTGCTTATTTGAAACTTCATACATTCTGGATGTCTGTAAGCAGAAGGTTTAAGTCTGTAATGCTGTTCCTTCTCTCTGCAGTCTGGTTATTGTGTTTTCACAACAGCAAAATTACTGTTATAGCTGAATTATAGAATAAATACAGGATATCTCACCACTGACCAGTCATTATTTTGCTTCACAAGTGCAACAGCCCTGAACCAAGTACAGTACAAAGCACTAGTTTCTTTTGCCTCACAGTCTGATTAGTGCAGCCGGCCTTTCTTTGGGAGGTGAGGCTTAGCACTGGGTTCTCAGCCCAAATCCTGCACCAGTGCCTTGCAGGCAAATCCAGGCACATGCACTGTTGCTGCTTTTGAAGCTGGCTTTCGCTGTAAGGCAAAGGCACAGGTGTAGGACCGCTGATACTGCTACACAATATGAGGTGCTCCTGTGGCTGTACACTGGTCAATGGCAGTTTCTTAATTCAGCTCTTTTACAAATTCTGTGGTGTTTACCTCATTTTTTTGCATTTGACTGGGGTTTTGATTGTAGAGTGGCTTCAGACAGTAGTTTGGAGCATGCAAGTAGAGTCTTGGATTGTGCATCTGGGTAGCTGAGATACCAGTTTTGGTCATGATGCTCTGCCTATGACCGAGCTGTGGTTATCCGAGGCTGTGGTGGTACGTCCAGAAACCCAGCAGGCTGAGAGGACTGGGTCCCTGTCTGCTTCCCTGTCCTGCAGGCCAGCCATGCCGACCGAGGGAGGCCGCAGCTCCCGTGTGACATCCCTCCAGCAGCGGGCCGTGGTCTCTCAGGGGCCAGGAGTACATGGGATCAGGTGGTAAAGCTGCAACATGGGAGGCAAAGGCTTACTTGAGCTGCTGAGGTAGATGGGGGGGCAGTGAGTGTGGCAGCTCTGGAGCTGGCATTGTTCTGTGGCCTCTCCATCCTGCACAGGCTGGTCCATGCCCAACTTTGCTTGGGAGAGGCAGCAGGAGCTGAAGCGACGTGCTTGGTTCTGAATCAGATGGGAAGCAGCTGCCCCAAAAGCCAGCACCAGTTCCAGAAGATGGGGAGCAGGACATTTCAGACAGAAAAGGCAGGTGCTGCTGGGGCTTTGCACAGCAGGACCCCGCACTGGGGAAGCAGAGACTGGGAGCCACCAGGCAGTGGCTTTGCCCCCATGCCCTGAGGTGCTGGGCTGTGGCATTAGTGGTGAGGTCCATCCTGCACAGATCACTTCTGCAGTGCGGCCACACCGGGCATCCCTGCCCATGGGGCCGGCACGGCCCTGCACCGACCGCAGGACCCGAGGGTGGGCCGAGGCTGGGATAACATCTTAAAAACAATAACCAAAACAGGTTAAAAAAAAAAATAGAGGCGCTATATTTTGGCCAGATGGGTTCGGCAGAAGCAGTCCGGCTGTGACGCGGGGGTGAGCGACGCCACCCCGAGCCGCTGCAGAGCCCCCGGGCGCGGGCGCGGCACCGCCCGCGCAGCCCCCGCGCCGCCGGAGCCGCTTCCCCCGAGCGCGGCCGTCGGGGCGGCGGTACTCGCTGTTCCGGAGCCCACTCGCGGAGGCTGCCTGGGGCGGATCGTAACCGCGGAACAAAACAGAGTGAGTCAAAAAAACCCACCCCACTCCCTGGTTAATATTATCCCGTCTCTCGTCTCTGAGGGAAATCCCCGCGCCCGAGAGCGAGTGTTTGTACGCGGGCGCCGGGGCCGCTGGTTTTCCGCGCCGAGGCGGTGCGGGGCGCCCAGCGGAACCGGGCCGAGCTACCCCACAGCCCCCCGACGCCGGGACCCCGTGAGGCCCAGGAACAAGCGGGGGACACCCCTTGCCCCGGGTCGGGCCAAGGATCCTAAGGAAATAAAGATGTCAATTTAGCATAATTAAGAGATTTATTTGTCGTCTTTTATAAACGTTGTAAGCACCTACCCTATTGTCGAAAAGTTTATTTACAGAGTGGCCAGAAAGACACATCCCCCCTCTCCTTCCAGCCCCCGTTAGTGGTTGTGCATTATTCGTGTTACCTGCGGCGCACTGGGTCCCGGCCGACCACGGGCGCCGGTCCCAGCCCGAGTATTTACATCCTGTCCCAAGTCCTACTACAAACGGAACACTTTTAAAGTCACCAAAGAGAAAAACAAAAACAAAACCCCAAACCAGTGCGTACAAAAATATAGTCTCTAAGAAAAAAAAAAAATCTCAATATTAATAGGCAGAAATGTACAGCCATACTAAAACCAGGGAGGGGAAAACTTTCCGGTCTCGGTGTCGCCGCTGTCGTCGGAGCGGATCGGTAAGGCACCCCCCACATGCAGACAGGGGACCGGGCTCTACACCACACAAGGCACCAAGGACACCTCACCACGACGGCACTGCATGCATCCATCCTCCCGCCGCAGACCCTATGTACACCCGCCGGCCCGGCCCGCTCCGGCCCGCCCCGGCCCGGGGGAGCCCCGCGGCGCCGCCAGGTGCTCGTCGCGCCCCGCCGGGCCCCGCTCCGCTCCGCTCCGCTCCGCGCCCGCCGCGCTCGGCGGCGGCTCCGCGCTGGGTACTGCGCGCCCCGCGCCGTCAGGGCGTCCGCGTCCGCGCCGCGCAGGGGGCCAGGGCCGCGCCGCTCCCGCCGCCGGGCTGCGGGCACCCGCCGCCGGCCGCCGCTCCTTTCCGCTCCTTCTGGCGCAGGTGGATCTTGGTGTGCCGCTTCCTCTCGTCGGAGCGGGCGAACTTCCTGCCGCAGAAGTCGCAGGCAAAGGGCTTCTCGCCCGTGTGCGTGCGGATGTGGGTGGTGAGGTGGTCGCTGCGGCTGAAGTTCCGCATGCAGATGCGGCACTGAAAGGGCTTGTGGCCCGTGTGGATGCGGATGTGCCGGGTGAGCTCGTCGGAGCGGGAGAAGCGGCGGTCGCAGCCCTCGGCGGGGCAGGGGTAGGGCCGCTCGTGGACCGGCGTCTTGCTGGGCCGGTTGGGGTACTTGCGGGGCCGCAGGATGGGCCGCAGCGGCAGGTGGTGCGGGCTGTAGGCGCCGGCGGGCAGCCGAGCTCCCGCACCCTCGCCCCCGCCGCCGCCGCCGGGAGCGCTGCCGGGGGCGGCGCCCGCCGGGGGCGCCCCCATCGTGAAGTTGCGGATGGTGGAGAGTGGCGTGAGGGGCGGTGGGACGCGGAGAGAGTCGAGGGGGCAGGGGAAGGGCTTGCGGTCGGGGCCGGGGTGCAGCTCCCGCTGGCACTGGGGCGGCGGGAAGAAGCCGCCGTACTCGGGGATCATGGTGAAGAGCCCGCCGTCGGCCGCCGCCGCCTTCGGGGAGGGGTAGGAGGGCGGCGGGGGAAAAGGCAGCGCCCCGCCGCCGGCGGCGGGCAGGAAAGCCGAGGAGGGGTCTTGCGGGTACAGGTCACCGCAGCCCGAGTAGGGCGGAGGCGGCGGCGAGTAGAGATGCTCCAGGTCGGCCGGCTGGCCCTGTGCCATGGTGCAGCCGAGGGCCCCGGCCAGCGGGTTGGGGGAGGCGGCGGAGGCGGCGGTGGCCGAGGAGGCGGCGGAGGAGGCGGAGGAGGCGGCGGAGGAGGCGGCGGAGGAAGGCGTGCTGACCCCCTGCAGGATCCCCGCGCTCACGATGTTGATGATGCCCTCGGGGTAGCAACCGGCGCCGGGGTACTGCGGGTCGATGGAGAATTTGCCCATGTAGGTGAAGGTCTGGTTGCGGGAAGCCGGGGCGTTGGGCGCGAAGCCGCCACCGTAGGGCAGGTCCAGGGCCCGCTTGTCGCCCATGTCCACGTTGATCATGCCGTCTGGGGGGGCAAGGAGCAGGTCAGCCCTCCGCGCCGCCACCCAGCACCGGTCCCGGCCGCCGCCCGCGCGGGGCTGCGGCGCGCACATGTTGCGCTCCGGCTGCCGGGGGGCTCCGCGCCGACTGCAACTTTTCCCCCAGAGCCGGGCGCGGAGGCAGGGCTGCCGCGAGGGGCGAGGGGGACCCCGGCCGGCCGCCGGGGGAGCCCCGCGGAGGGTCGCGGCGTTCCGTCCCGGTCCGCCCCCCGCCCGCCACCCGGGGTCCCCGCCACCCTCCGCGGGTGGCCCGTCCCGCACCTGCGCGGGTTCCGCTTACCTCCTGCCACACCGCTCATCTGGTCAAACGGCCCTGCCAGGTCGGCATTGGGGAAGATCGCCACCGAAGTTGGCAGCGCGGCCGAGATGTCATCCGCGGGGTAAATGCCCTCGGGGAGCTGGTGCACGAACCCACCGAGGGTCACCGGGATCTTGTCCACCGCCTTGGCGGTCATCATGGGGGCAGCGGGGCGGCCGCGGGAGCAGCGCTCCCGGCCGGCGGTGGGCGCTCGGGGCGGGGAGGGGAGGGCGAGGAGGGGGCGCTTCCCCCTGCCTCCCACTACCGGCGCGGGGGAACGGCGGGGAGCCGGCGCGGCATGTGCGGGCGGGCGGCCGCCCCGTCGCGGCGGTGCGGTGGCCGCGGTGCCCCGGGAGCGCCGCGCTCCCGCCGCAGCTCGCGCTGGAGGACAAGTCTGGCGGTAACTATTTATGGGGGCCCCCTGAATGCCCGGGACGTCACTGCCCATATAAGGACTGAGGAACGGGGCCCGGCGGTCACGTGGGCTCGGGCGTGCGGGACCCGCCGCCCCGCGCCCGCCCGGCCCCCCGCCCCGCACACCCCCGCGCCCCGCGGCTGCCCTGACCCGCCCCGGCCCGCGCGGCCCCCGCCGCCGCCCGGCGCGCCGCACAGGGGGGTATTCCGGTGGCGGGGCCCTTGTCCTAAAAAGGCGAGGATCCGGCCCCGCCCCCTTGCCCTTTTTAGGGAACCCGTTCCGGAAAATTTTAAAAACGTTCGGAAAAGCAGAGGAGGTCCCAGGGCCGCCCCGCCGGACCCCGCTCACTTTCTCAGCAGCCCGTAACCGCAAGCCGGCGGCGGGTCAGAAAACAGCCGCATTCACGGAATACAGCTTCTCCTTTCTTAAAGAAAAAAAATATTAAAATTTTTTTTTTTTTTTCTGAATTACGGGCGGAAAGAGCCGCCGAGCAGAGCGACTCGGCGGCGCTGCTTTTTTTGGAAAGTGTCTGATCTATATATACCGTCGCGAAAACGGAACCGCCCGCTCCGCCGTCGGTGGGTTGTTATTGTACCGACGGGCACAACCGGGGACGGGACGGAGGGGGCTGCACTGCTCCCCCGCCGCCCCCACCACCCCATTCTGCCCCATTCTGCCCCCACCGCTCCCACCCTGCTCAGATCAACCTTTTGCTTCCACAGCTTCCATCCTCAGTAACATTTCCACTCCCACTACTGCTTTCTTTCTCCATGATCTCCTCCATAATGAGGGTATAAAACCAAAGAGTGCTTAAATTCTGTCTTTTTTTTTTTTTTCCTCCAAAGTACTAAAAATAACCTCCCTTGTGCCTCCCTTCCCAGGAGAAGCCAATCTTTCATATGCTGTTCCCAAGCTTAGAGCTTGCAGCCCCTACATCTTCTTGCTGATGAGGGTGTCAGATGTAATTATTTTTGAAAGCTGTATCCCATGTCACTAATCTCATTTACTTGGGGATATTTCATCTTGAGGCTGTTTAGTCCTGCATTTAGGAAAGCAACTCTCACATATGGTCTGTAGCATGCAAGATTCCTTTTCAATGGTCTGCAGTAAAAACCCAACCCATTAACAACCCAAACAGCAGCAAGATGTGGCAACATATGAAAGACGCTATGAGAGTGTACACTCCTTTTCCAAAGCAACAAGCAGAAAATACATAGGAAGGATAAAACCCTCTTTGCTCTAATTTTTAACTGCAGATACCAATATTTACAGGTCTAATACATTCCAGGGCTCGGGCATCCCGAAGGAACATGCACTTATCTCTACCTTCAATCCCAAGCACTGTCACAGTGTCTCCCAGGCCCCGTTTTATCCGTGCCACACCTCACACCCCAGCTGAGAAAGGGTCTATCAGTTCCTCCAGTTCTATATCACCGCCTTTGGTGATGCTCCAGGTTCACTACTTGTCCAGGCACTGCAGAGCCCAGGCTAGACAGGAGCGTCTCTGGAAAAGTAAAAGTTTTAGGGACATTAGTCATACTTTCTAAGGAATAGTAGGCATAAACATAGATATTTGCCTTCATGGGTGATCAGAGAAGTGTGCACAGTAATTAGTAAATATATAACTGTTTTTTAATATAGATTTTTATTATCAGTCCTTTCTAGCACTTAATATATAGCAAATACAGTTTGACATATGAGATTTAGTTGAAAGAAAGCTTTCAGTGGGATTCTAGATATTTTCATTTAAAAGACCCATCTCAATTTAAAAGTTAAATTGTGACAGAGAGACAGGTTCTGGGAAATTTGACTGAGAAGCAAGAGCAATTGTATTGTACCTTTCCATTACAGCTGAGCTATAATTGGTTTAATCGCTACTATGAAAGAACAAAATATTGGAATCTGTTGTGCAGTGGGGCGAATTACTTTACATGAATTTGAGAAACAGGTGCAGTATCCTCCTTACTGCAAAATGTTGCAGACGTATCAGATTCAAGTTTTATGGATATTCTACATCATTTTCCCGTATTGTTTCAAAATACCACATGCTCACTGATGACACTGAACCCATAATGCTCACAGGAGAAAGAAGAACCAAGGTTTCACAGTGCACCTCAATCTCCCCAGAAATCAATTCCACCTTTGAACTAACTTGGCTCATTTAATGGAAAGGATTTAATGAAAGACCGACACGAATAAAATCCACTGTACCTCCTGGCTAACTTCACCTGGGGAATACTACTATAGTTGGGTTGGTTGGTTAATTTTAAAAGCCTTTTTAAGCATGGAGTAAATCGTGCCTGATTTCTAGCCTTTCCAGGGACAATCAAATCACTCAGCATCTCTCAATGGGAGCTTTGTCTGAGGGGCAGCGGGATCTGGTGTGGGGCAAGATGGAGACCTAGTTAATGCTCAGCTTCAGGAAGATGTTGACAGATGAGACTCAAATGTTTCTGGGCTCTTTTCAGATATTGTCGCTGCATTGCTTTGCATGTGCTTTGTGCCTTTGATCCCCATTTGGCTGATCACAGCAGACTCCAAGGGTTGGACTGTCCACCTCACGCTGACGTCAGTGAGCCTTATATGCAAAAATACCCTACTGATTTCTGTGGTTCCTACAAACCACGTGGTTTCATATGACAGACATTGCTGCTGCAAATTGCCAAATCCCCACTCGCACCAGGAGCCTCGAATGTGCCTGACACGTCTGACTGGATACAGCATGGACTGAGGAGGGTTCAGAGCTGATAGGCAGAACTTCTGTTCCCAATTTCTTTGAAACCAGACTCCTTTGGATTTACTGCATTTACCCTTTTAACAAGTTGCTAGCTGATGTTGCACTGGGGTTCTACTTTCCTGTAGTCATTCTCTACCATAGGTACCTGAGACAGGAGCTATAGAAATAAAATTGTCCTTGCCTCCATGAGCTGAGAGTGGCTGAGGAAGAAAATGCAGCTCATCATCTGTGGAGCTGGCAACACATTTCACCAGTGTAACATCACACATTTGAGTCATCTCTCCAGGGGGTTACTGTGCTTTTGCAGCAAAACTCGACCGACCTCATGTGCTAACAGCAGCGATGCTGGTAGGCCTGCTTGGAAATGCACCCTGCCGCTTCCACTGTGCATCCTGCTGTTTTTGGGAATGTTAAGGTGGCTCCAGCTCAGCAGGTGTTCTCAGGAGTGGGAACTCAGGTGTGATCAGGGAGTTGTTTTCAGATAGGAGATGAATGACCTGTCCTCTGACAACTCTCTGAACTAGATTCATGTTGGGGTTGATGTTTCCTTAACATTTCACATAAAAGAAAAGATCTCTCCAAATCTAGATTTCAGCATTTCCTAAATTTGCCCCTTTTCATTGGGGGTAGAAAAATTTGTCATGTCCTCACAGGAAGAAATGCTTATTTACTAATACCTTCTGTTTTGCCAGGGTGTCCCCTGGATTCCCAAGTTGCTGGCAAAAGCCACATCCCTTCAGTCTACCCTGTCGGCCCCTCACAGGCCTGATCCAGGCTCTCAGCCTGTACTGACCAGTCACCAAAACCTGGAATTCAGCCAGGGAAACCTGCTGTAAACTTGAACGTACAGAAAACAGCTGCCTGACTGCTGGCATGTGGGGGAAGGGGATGGTTAAGGAGCAGAGGAGAAGGCATCCCAGTCTGCCCTTAATTACAGTACCTTGAAACCACTCTGTGGTTTCCAGCCAAGCGTGCTTGTTGTCTTAGGATGAATGCCTGTAAATTTGAAATAAGTAAATGGCTTTGTTGTGAGTATTTGGCTCAGGAGAGCCATAGCACCATCCTGAAGGGCTATTTAAATGTCAATAACATTTTCTAATTCGGGCTATAGGAATTAAACAAACCCATGTGGAATCAGCAAGCTGCTAATTTAAGTTTGTGTGGCTGTGGACAAGTATGTGTGGCAGAGCAAAGTTCCAGTCAAATAAAAGCAACAACAAACTCGTTTGCTCAAAACTTATTCTCGCAATTAAACACGCAGAACACTTCCTGCATGTTCCCGTACGCGGCTTCTAGCACACGTGTTAAATCCGTAGTCCTGCTTCCACTCACCTCATTCGTCCCTCTCGGAACACCCGAGGGAGCGGGTGCTCCCAGCCGGCGGCGGGAGGGGAGCGGGGAGCGTGTGCGGGCTCCACTGCCCTCTCCTGGGGGAAGGCGCTCCCGGGAGCCGGCGAGGACACGGCAGCTGAGCAAAAAGCGATGCGTCGGGCTGAGCGCAGCTGGTGTTTCATAGAATCACACAATATGCTGCGTCGGAAGGGACTCACAAGGATCATCGAGTTCAATCCTTAGCCCTGCACAGGGCCATCCCCAAGACTCACACCATGTGCCCCAGAGTGCCATCCAAACACTTCTTGAGCTCTGTCAGGCTTGGTGCTGTGATCATTGCCCTGGGGAGCCTGTTCCAGTGCCCAATCACCCTCTCTGGAATGAACCTTTTCTAAAATCCAACCTAAACCTCCTCTGACACAACTTCAGGCATTCCCTCTGGTCCTGTCACTGGTCACCACAGAGATCAGCATCTACCCCTCCCCTCCTCTTCCACTCACGAGGAAGTTGTAGACTGCAATGAGGTCTCCCCTTAGTCTCCTCTTCTCCAGGCTGAACAGACCAAATGACACCTTCTCTGTTTTGGATTATACTTTGAATGGTGGCATCAGGGAGGCAAAAAAAAAAGAAAAAAAAAAGAAAAAAAGGTTTTAGGGCTTTAAACTGAAAGAGAACAAGTTTAGATTAGATTTTAAGATGAAATTCTTCCTTACAAGGGGGGTGAGGCCCTGGCACAGGTTGCCCAGAGAAGCTGCAGCTACCCCATCCCTGGAAGTGTTTCATCGTGTAAGAGCACCCCTAAAGGTTTTCATCACAGTTGTGCTACCTATAGAGAGAATATAGCCCTGTGGAGTCGGAGATCCTGGCCACAGGCTGTGACCCTGCAGCCCCAAAGGTGTCAGGA